TGTACAATGGGAGTGAATGGAAATGCGTCCACATATTTAGAAAATAAATGTGCCAGAGGCATGCAAAATATTTGAACTGTTGCTTAAAGCTGGCCTTGACTTTTTCCATAAAGTGGTTAAGATGACTCTCCTTTACATCAGGAAGGTTATGCAGCAGCCCAGAGCCCTATTTAATCTCTCAAGGCGTAATGTGTCACATTGTTTTCTTCTGCAGCAAGGCTGCTGCTTACCAAGTCTGGTTTCGCGTATGTGGGGCACAGTACAAAGTACTATTTACAGTGTAGGTTAATCAATAACTGCTGCATAACTGGACTGTATGAAAGCACTGAACCATGAGTTACATCATCCCATCTACAGACACATAGCCTGAACACACCCCACACTCGTCCCAATCCCGATTCCTTCTATACAATCATTTAGCCCTTCCCATTCACTCCCATTGCAATCCCAATGGATCAAATCCCTTTCTGCTGTCTCCCGTTAACATTAATGTGAGCACAGCAAGAGCCCAGCCAAGAGAGAGGCTTAGTGTGGAGCTGGTGTATTAACCTGTCAGGACAAGGCTGGAGGTGCAGTTTGAACTGTACTACACGCTAGCTGGACCTCACAATGAGCAATCTTGAGATTACCACCCGCGCCTAGTGCTGACTGCCAGAAGGGAGTGTAAGATCCATGAAATTGGAGACATGTCCAAGACTGATGTTGGATGAGTGTGTTCTGGCTGGTTTGGCCTGGTGTCTGTGCCTGGATAGTGCTGGGACAAGTGTCCCAAGAAGCAGCATGGTGAGGAAGGTCAAGGGGGATTTAAACTAAACAATAGAGGTGGTCGATGAAGCAAAATGATTGAGAGGCTGGAACTGAAGAAGCACATATCTTAGAGGGCTGTAGGAGATTACAGAGATAGGGAGGGGGTGTTGTGTGTGGAGGAGGTTGCAGAGATAGGGAGGGGTGTGGGGGTTGGAGGAGGTTACAGAGATAGGCAAGGCTGTAGGGGCTGGGGGAGGTTATGGAAATGATTCCACATAGGATGGGTGTAATGCTCCATTTGCAATTTAGAAACTGAAGCTTCCCTCTCGGGGTTAGCATCGGCTAGGGCCAGAGTTAATTGGAAAGGACTTTGCAGGGCGAGATGTTCTGATTCTGGGGCTCATTCGAGTGTAGGCTGAGCTGATGTTCCCTGAGTGTACACGATATGAAGTGGTGAGGTATGGAACGATCTCTGTGGCTTGATACTACATTGGGAGCGGGCGGTGCCACTGAGGATGGAGGTCAGGATGGAGCGGCTGTGAGCTCTGAGCTGAGAGATGGTGGAGTGGGGTGTGCGCTTCACAGGTTTAATCCCACTCAGTGCTTGCTGTCCCCCAGCAACTCAACAGGCGTTGAACTCTGCAAGAGCAGCCCATTCATTATCCTTGTGAGAGTGTGAGTGACCGAGTGGCCAAGGGCAAGCTGATGAGCCGGGACTGGAATCTCTGATATATTCTGGTTGCAGTGAGGATTTCCCAGTGGGGTGTCTAATTGAGAAATTGGGAGGGAGGCAGTAGATGGTGAGTGAGGACTGATGGCACAAGGTGTGTCAATCGCAGTCCATGCTGTGTAATCTGTGCAGTGTTGTTGATGAAGGGAACACTGACCAGTCTTTCTGTTAACTCTCCCCTCTCTTCTCCTCCCTCCCCTTCATCGCCCCCTTTCCCCATTTACTCCCTCTCTCTGTTGATCAACACCAGACCCAAAACGGACTACGTCCTGGCAATGCTGAGAGAGATTGCTTGCTTCCTGTTGACTCGTGTGTGAATAGATTCCAGGTATGTGTGTAATTCTCAATCTTTCCTTCTATCCCCACTGCTGTCACAGTCTGCCCTGTCTCAGACCCTCGCCTTTCAGACTGAGAGGTTCTGAAGGCTGTAAAACAGCACTATTCCACTGCACACACACCCCCAACCCCCCAACACCCAATGTCACGGTGTCACACGTTACATTTACCTAGCAGCTCGGACAAATGGAGGTGGTTAACCCTAAGTTCTCCATACTAACATCTGGGTGCTGGTGCCACCATTGGGAGAGCTGTCTCACAGACGAGTCAAGCAACAGTCTGATATAGTCACACTCACAGAATCATACCTTACAGACAATGTCCCAGACACCACCATCACCATCCCTGGATATGTCCTGTCCCACTGGCAGGAAAGACCCAGCAGAGGGGGCAGCACAGTGGTATGCAGTCGGGAGGGAGTTCCTCTAGGAATCCTCAACATTGACTCCAGACCCCAACAAGTCTCATGGCTTCAGGTTAAACATGGGCAAGGAAACCTCCTGCTGATTACCATGTACCGTCCTCCCTCAGCTGATGAATCAGTATTCCTCCATGAACAACACTTAGAGGAAGCACTGTGGATGGCAAGGACACAATATACTCTGGGTGGGGAATTTCAATGTCCACCACCAAGAGTGGCTTGGCAGCAATACTACTGATCGAGCTGGCCGGGTCCTAAAGGACGTGGCTGGGTCTTAGCAGGTGGTGAGGGAACCAACAAGAGGGAAAATCACATTTGACCTCATCCTGACCAATCTGCCAGCTGCAGATGCATCTGTCCATGACAGTATCAGTAAGAGTGACCACCTCACAGTCCTTGTGGAGATGGAAGTCCCACCTTCACATTGAGAATAACTTCCATCGTGTTGTGTGTCTCTATCACTGTGCTAAATGGGACAGACTTCGCACAGACCTAGCAACACAGACTGGGCATCCGTGAGGCGCTGTGGGCCATCAACAGCAGCAGAATTGTACTCCAGCACAATCTGTAATCTTGTGGCCCGGCATATCCCCCACTCAACCATTACCGTCGCGCCAGGAGATCAACCCTGGTTCAATGGAGAGTGCAGGAGGGTATGCCAGGAGCAGCACCAGAAGCTGGGCTGACCTGCGTTTTTAAATGAAGGAAAACCTGATCTGGAGACGTAACCTTGTGGTTTATGGGATCTTGCTGTGTGCGGAATTTTTACAGCAGTTTTTCCTACAGAGGTTCCAAATAAAAAAGGGGCTGTCCTTTCACCGTGAATGTCTTTCAAAGCTTCGGGCTGTGAGTAGCTCTGTATGTCAGAGCTGTTGATTTCAGGAAGGTTCCAGAATGCGTGCACACCTTGATGTCAGTGTTAGGAGGGGGTGGAGGTAGAATGTGGTGAGGTTTCTCCCTCGCCAGCCTCACTCAGGTCCCATCACAAAGTTCTGTTCGCCACTGCCTTTCAAGGCTCTCTTTACCCAGAGTGAAGATCAATCGTGTCCTGAATTTGAGAGGAGGCTAACTCAGCACTAGGCCCAAGCGGACCCTGGGCCTGTCCTGTGTGATGAGAGGGTGCATGCAGTCACTGACATGGTCAAGATAGTTGGCCAACTCACTTCAAGGCCTGAGTGGAGCCTGAGCCTGTTCTGTGCATCGATCAAGGACCCTCAGTCCCCTCCTGGGACAAGAGATCCAGCCAGCCCAGGGCTAGGCCCGAGTGAAGCCTGGGCTTGAACTGTGTGTCTATAGGGGCGATCAGTCCTCCACTGGGGTAGGAAATCTAGCTAACTCTGGACTAGGCCCAAGTGGAGCCTGGACGCCACTTGCTGGGCCTGCCCACATGCAGTGTGGCCTTGGGGTGTAGTAGTGGTTGACTAATTTCCAGGCAGAATATTGGCAGCAGGGTCTAGCGTGAGTATTTCTCATCTCTCCACGCACTACCGTCTCTCCAGGACCACCAGCTCCCACGCAGCGCTGGCACTATGATGCAGGATCCCAGCCCGTACATTGAAGAGACAGTAACTGTGGAGGAGGACCCCGATCACGCTCCGTCCGTTGTCTCCGTGGAAACGGATGAGGATGGTACCACTCGCCGGACAGAGACCACAGTGAGTGACTTGTGTACGTCTTGAGAGAAGAGAGGGGGGCCCAGACCAGCCAGGTATAGAGTCTTAGTGTGGAAACTGACCCTTCGGTCCAGCTCGTCCATACTGACCAGGTCTCCCAGTTAGGTCCTGCCTGCTAATCCAGCTATTTTCAGCAGGGGAGGGTCAGTGACCATCGTCTTACTGGGTGCAGGGGTCAGCTACTGAGCAGAAACCGAACTCGACCAGCCAAACAATGGTAGGTCAGAGGCTGGGAATATTGCGGTGAGTAATTCGCCTCCTGACTCCCCAGAGCCTGTCTGCCATTGACAAAGGCCCAAGTCAGGAGTCAGATGGAATGCTCTCCATTTCCCCTGGAGGAGTGCAGCTCCAACAAGACTGAATAAGCTGGACACCATTAGGACTGGGGAGGTTGGGGTGGTGGGGGGGGGGGCGGGGGGGTGCGGAGGGGGAGGTAGATGGGAAGGGGGGTTAGAGAGAGACACAGGAAGTGGTGGGAGGGTGGGGGAGACAGAAAGGGAGGCCTGATTTAGACTATAACAATGACAATGACATGGGCCCAGTCCCTGAGCCCAGCACTTCCACCGTCTCTCTGTGTCTCATTCTCCTCCCTTGTTACCTCCCATCCCCCTCCCTCCCTGTCTTGCCCCCCCCCCGCCTTCATCCCCGGTGTAACTCTGTTCCTGTGTTCCAGGTGAAGAAAGTGATTAAGACAGTCACCACCAGGATGGTCCATGAGATGCCGAGTGACCAGTTCTCTCTGGATGGCTCCTCAGTACAGGGGGGTTACACTCAGACCCTGGACAGAAAGTTCCGGAGTAACGGCGAGAGCTACCTGGGCCCTCACGGAAGCTCCACAGTGCCGCGTGGTTACTCCTACCAGGAGGTGTACGGGAAGACTCCGACCCAGCGTGTGCCATACGGAGACCTGGCCCCAGAGAGCTACGGGAGCCTGTCACGTGGCGTCCGCATTGACCAGCGCTACCAGCCCCCCATCGAGAGCTACCAGCGAGCACCAGGCAGAATGGATGTCTACGGGGCCCAGCCCCAGGTCAGGGGTGGTAGTAACTTCAATCTGAACCAGTCACACCCTGAGAGATTTCACTCTGAACCCTACGGTCTGGAGGATGATGACCGCAGCGTGGGCTATGATGAGCCTGACTATGGCTTGGCACACGACTATCCGACTGCCAAGCGATCGGCCACGCCTTCCGATCTTCGCAACAGATACTTCCGGAGGTAAGCATTGGATCGAGAACCCTCCTCCCCACCTCCTTCCTGACCCCCACCTCCCCTCCCCAACCCACTTTTTATACCCAATGTCAGCACCAAACACTCCCAGGACAGGGACACCACGGGCGCAGATACAGTGTAGAGCTCCCTCTACACTGTCCCCCATCAAACACTCCTAGGACAGGGACAGCACAGGGTTAGATACAGTGTAGAGCTCCCTTTACGTGACCCTGATAGTGTAGGTCATCTCTCTAGTTCTCTATCTCTCCCATGAATTTGTTACAGCCGCAGTAAGTTTGTGAAAAGTCTCTGAATTTCCCACTTACTATGGAGAGAGAATCTCAAAAGTGACCTTTTATGGTTTTAAGGTTTCTTCTGGTAAATTTAAAATCCCCACTAGGTGATCATTACCTAATGGTACCCCATCCGCTAACACAGCAGGACAGCTGTCCTCCTATCATTAACTAACACGATCGTAAGGACCCTCCTGATGGTCCTGCTCGTTTCTTCCCAGTGTTTTCCCCCTTGTTCCGTTCTTCTCTGGCCACTGGCTTGAGTCTTCCAGTCTCCCTTGACAAACTGCTTCACCGCATCCTGGCCCAGTCCTGGATTCCCATGCGCTCAATTCGATTGGACAGGGAATCTGAGCTCTCCTGTCGAGCATACCCCACCCCAGTCCCTAACCCTCCGTCGAAGCCCATCTCTCTAGGCTCTTCACTCCCCTACTGATGGCCATCCTCTAGAGTACCATTCCTCACATTGCATCCCCCGTCTCTCTAGTCCCAAATCCCTTGTGCTCAAGTGTGACCTTTTCTAGTGTGAGCAAGGGGGGAGGAGGCCTGGCAGTGGGGGACGGGACTTGGCGGAGTGCTGTGGTGGGAGTGGGGTTGTTGGGCCTCCCCCCTGTGCTGGTGCTCACCCTTTCTTTCTTTCTTGCTTTCTTTCCTCCTTTCTGTCTTTCTTTCGTTTCTTGCCACAACAGCAGGAGCTTCGACGACCCACTGGCCGACGACGTGCGCTCTGATCACGACACCTACTACTGGGCACCACTGGCCCAGCAAGAGCGAGCGGGCAGCATGGCCAGCTTGCACAGCGGCCGCAAGGAGCCCATGGCCTGGCGCCAACCCGAGCTGCCCGAGGTCATCGCCATGCTCAACTACAAGCTGGACGCGGTGAAGGCCAATGCCGCAGCCTACCTGCAGCATCTGTGTTACCGCAACGACAAGCTGAAGACAGAGGTCAGGCGCCTCAAGGGCATCCCAGTTCTCGTTGAGATGCTGGACCACCCCAAGAAGGAGGTTCACCACGCTGCCTGCGGGGCCCTCAAGAACATCGCGTACGGCCGCGATGCCGACAACAAGAAGGCCATCAAGAACTGCGATGGCATCCCCTCCCTGGTCCGCCTCCTCCGCAAAGCCCGAGACATGGACCTCAATGAAGTCATTACCGGTATGTAGACTGGGAAGGTGGGTAGGGGGAGTGGGGAGGGTAATGTTGTACATTCGGCAGGAGTGGGAGCAGGAACACAGCTGCCTGGAAGGCGGTGCGGAGTCAAGCGGGTGCTGTCCAAGCAGGGAAGGGGATTGGCACCAAGGAATTACCCACTCATGGGTAGAGGGCGTCTCTGGCCAGGCCAGCGTTTATTGCCCATCCCTACTCACCCACAGGGCCAGTTAAGAGTCAACCAGGTGAGGATGGCAGTTGCTTTCTCTAAAGGACATTCGTGAACCAGATGGATTTTTCTGACAATCGGCAATGGATTCATGGTTGGCATGAGACTCTTAATTCAGACTTTTTCAATTGAATTCAAATTCCACCATCTGCTGTAGCAGGATTCAAACCCAGAACATTATCTGGGTCTCTGGGTTAACAGTCCAGTAATAATACCACCAGGCCATCGCCGCCTCCAATTCTACCAGGCTCTGGAGTCACATCCAGGCCAGGCTCTGAGGAAGGGTAACCGGACCCGAAACGTTAACTCTGATTTTCTCATCACGGATGCTGCCAGACCTGCAGAGCATTTCCAGCAGTTTCTGTTGTGGCAGGTTTCCCTCCCTGAAGCATCCTAGTCGACCCCTTTTCTGTTTCACGTTAATGATCTAATTCAGTCTAAATTCCAGCAGCTGAGGTAGGATTTGTACCTGGGTTCCTCGGGCATCAGGCCGGGGGCATCTGTGTCACTGGCCCAGTGACATGACCACTGCAGCTCCAACGCAGGGCATTCATTTTTGTCTGATCCTCTCTGGCCGACTCTGTCCTCCAGTGGTACCGCAATCCCTCGGATTCCCATCAACAACAACAACAACACTGCACGATTTTCCAGCAAAGGTCATGATCTCTTCACAAAAAGTCCGACTGCGCGGTGCTCCCTTGGCGACGACTGTCCAACTGCGCTTGTCGCCCATTTTATGTCCGCTGTCAGCATAAAATGCTCCCAGGACAGATACAGCACGGGGTTAGATATTTTACATTCTGTTTCATGGGCCCTCCCTGACTTCCTCATTCTTGCTCTTGCTCTCTCTGTTTCTCTCTCCTGCCTCTTCGTGTCTCATTTTTTTTGTTGTTGGTCTGTCTGTCCCTTTAACTGTACCCTGCTCCTCTGTTGCTCTGCTCTCTTGTCTCTTCTATTTCTCTTTCCTATCCAACTCTCCCTGCCCTTCTCCCTTTCCCACGCATGCTCTCTCTCTCTATCTCTCTCTCTCTCTATCTCTCTCTCTCTCTATCTCTCTCTCTCTCTCTCTATCTCTCTCCCTTTCTTCCTGTCCTTCCAATTGTTGCTCTCTGCCTCCCCACCCCACCATGTCTGTGTCTGTGTCCCAGGTACCCTGTGGAATCTCTCCTCCCATGACGCGGTGAAGATGGAGATTGTTGACCATGCGGTCCCTGCCCTGTGTGACGAGGTGATCATTCCACATTCCGGCTGGGAGCAGGAGCCCAACGAAGACTCGAAGCCACGGCACGTGGAATGGCAGGGAGTGCTCACCAACACCGCCGGCTGTCTCAGGTAGGCCAGGGCCTGAAGCCTGGAGCCTTGGGTTGGCCTGGGCCTGGGCCTGGCTCCGCCCACCCTTCCTGCTCTCTCAGCCTGATCTCTCCCTGGCATGGGGCTGGGCTGTGTTCCTCTACACCCTGTCCTTCACTTAGTGGACCCTGTCATTAACCCTCGGCACTCATTTGCCAAGGGTCAAAGGTTGCTGTTTCATCCCACTTGCCCGATTTCACCACCACGTGCGTTCGTGGACACGCTCTTGCTGTCAGTCACACACGGAGCTGTGCGCATGCACTCCGTCTCTTTTCTCACACAGGCAGACCCCCAACCCGCACCCACCCTCCAGAGGAAATTGAGGGTATCCCTGCCGTTGGGGAAAATGGGCGCGGGGAGGGGTTGGGCTCTACTTGTGGGGCAGTCATTGATTTCTCCTCTTTTGATTCCCCTTCCTCCTCCAACACCGCCATTGTAACAGGAATGTCAGCTCAGAGAAAAAGGAAGCCCGCCAGAAACTGCGGGAATGCAGCGGATTGGTCGATTCATTGATGCACATCGTCCAATCAGAGATAGACCAGAAGGACGTGGACAGCAAGGTCAGAGAACATGGGACTGAAGTTTTCGGAGTAGATTTGTAGCTCGGGTTGTGGGTGTTAAGGTTGGTTGGCTCGCTGAGCTGGTTTCTTGTTTCGCAGACGTTTCGTTACCATGCTGGGTAACGTCCTCAGTGTAGCCTCTGATGAAGCGTCGGTGTGTTTTCCTGCCTGGTTTTTAAACTCAGGTCCGTTGAGCTGGATTGCCTCGCTTCCGGTTTTCCTTCGTAGTGGAATGTATACGGGGTCGAGTTCAATGTGTTTATTAATAGCATGCTTTGTGGAGTGCCAGGCTTCTAGGAATTCTCGTGCCTGTCTCTGCCTAGCCTGTCCCAGGATCTTGGTGTTGTCCCAGTCGAAATGTTGGTTCTCCTTGTCCATGTGGATTGAGATGAATGAGTATTGGTCGTGTCTTTTTGTAGCCAGTTGGTGTTCATGTACCCTTGTTGTTAGATTCCTTCCTGTTTGTCCGATGTAGTGTTTCTCACAGTCTCTGCAAGGGATCTTGTAGATGACATTGGTGTCCATGGCGGGGAGTGGGTCTTTGGTTCGGGTGAGCAGTTGTCTTAGGATTGACGTGGGCTTGTGTGCCACTCTGATGCCCAGCAGTTGTAGGAGTCTTGTGGTGAGTCACGACGTGTTCCTGATATAGGGTAGTGTGATGAGTGTGTCGGGGCGTGTAGTATCTTCCTGATGTTATTCGTGTAGACATCTTCTGACCCAGTTTTTTGGATATCCATTATCCTTGAAAACCTGGAAGAGGTATTCTTCTTCTTGGTGTAGTTCCGTGTTGCTGCGGTGTATTTTTGCCCATTTAAATAGTGTTCGCACGCAGCTTTGTTTGTGTGTGCTGGGATGGTTGCTGTTAAAGTTCAGTACCTGGTCTGTGTGTGTGTGGCTTTTCGGTGTACTTTCGTTTGCAGTTCCCCGTTTGTCTTGTGCTCTACCATGACGTCCAGGAATGGGTGCTGTTTGTTCTTCTCCTCCTCTCTGGTGAATTTTATTCCGGTGAGGGTGTTGTTTATAAGTTTGTGTGTCTCCTCTAATTTGGTCCATTTAATGATGACAAAGGTGTCGTCCACGTAGCATATCCATAGTTTAGGTTGGATTTGTGGAAGGGCTGTCCTTTCCAGTCTTTGCATCGCTGCCTCTGCTATGAGTCTAGAGATGGGTGATCCCATGGGTGTCCCGCTGATTTGTTTGTATGTTTGGCCGTCGAAGGTGAAGTGGGTGGTGAGGCATAGGTCCAATAGTTTGAGCATGCTGTCTGTGGAGATGGTTTCACTGAGGTCTTGCTCTTGTTCCAGTAGTGTTGTCATTGTTTCCCTTGATAGTAGTATGTCTGGTGTAAATAGGGCAGTGACATCAAATGATATCATGGTCTCTTCATCGTCTATCCTTATGTCTTTGATGGAGTTGAGAAATTCTTGGGCTGAGTGGATGGAGTGAGGTGACTTGTTGACTAGGTGCCTGAGTCTCCTTTGTAGTTCCTTGGCTAATCTGTGTGATGGAGTGCCTGGCAGGGAGACTATGGGTCTAAGGGGTACTTCCGGCTTGTGCACTTTCGGGAGGCCGTAGAATCGGGGTGTGTTGGTTCCTTCGGGTTTCATTCTTAAGAAGCCTGCTTTGCTGATCTGCCCCGTCTGTTTGAGACTTTTTAACGTGTAGAGGATTTTGTTGCCTAGTTGCGGTGTCGGGTCAGTTTGTACTGGCCGGTATGTGTTTCCGTCAGCGAGCAGTGCCTGTGCCTTGGAGGTGTAGTCCCTTTTATTCAGTATCACTGTCATGCGCCCTTTGTCTGCGGGTAGTATTGTGATGTTCTTGTCCTCCTTTAATCCATCCAGGGCCTGTCTTTCCAATGTGTTGAGGGTGTTGAGTTCGCTCCTTATGGTTAGTGTCGGGATTACGTTCTGTCTTATCGTTTGTTGTGTTTCTTCGTTGATATTGTTGGTCTTTAGTGTGGCTTCCAGTGTGGCTAGGAATTCCGTTCTGTTGGCGTCCCTGTAGTTGTAGTTCAGTCCTCGGGTGAGAATGGCTCTTCAGTGAGAACACCGACGCTTCATCGGAGGCTGCACCGAGGATGTTACCCAGCACGGTAACGAAACGTCTGTGTAACAAGAAACCAGCTCAGCGAGCCAACCAACCTCAATGGGACTGAAGGTTAAAGTGTGAGGGAGATGGACGGTCAGCGCTGAGGGGGTGCTGCACAGTCGGAGGGTCAGCGCTGAGGGAGTTTGAGCTGGATCAATGTGGGGCTGTCTCTGTCCTCACTGGCCACTCCTGTCGATACTGTTTTGTGTGTTTCAGCTCGTGGAGAACTGCGTGTGCCTGCTGCGCAACCTCTCGTTCCAGGTGCACAAGGAAATCCCAGATGCGGCCCGCTTCCAGGAGGCAGTGGGTGGCCCCTCAGCGCCCGCGGGATCTTCCCAACCCAAGGCCAGCTGCTTTGGGGGCAAGAAGGGTAAAGGTAATGGGTTCAAGGGTCAATGGGGTGACACAGACTGAAGCTAGGAGGGTGTTGGTGTGCGATGGGTAGGGGGCACGATGATGGTGGCTGAGGTGGGGGTAATAGCTCCTCAGGTCACCTCTAATGGATGTGCAGTGTGATTCTCCCTTTCACATCTTGCCCTGCACAGAGTTTGCCTCTCACTGACCTGCAGTCTCTCGGAGCCTCTCTCCTTCAGGACTGTGGGTAGCGATCCACAGCTCACTGCAAAGTGAGTTCCAAAGATCCTCATTCCAATGAGGGAAGACTGTTCTCCTTGTCTCCATCCAAAATCCTGAAGGGGGCTTTGATCGGGGAGTTATGGAACTGGAGAGACGACCTTTGATGGAAAGTGTATTAGATTAGAGAGGTGGTCTTTGATGGGAGGGATATGGGATTAGAGAGATGGTCTTTGCAAGGGATAAGGGGTCAGTGAGATGGTTTTGGAGGGGGGATCTGTGGCTGGCGAGATGGTCGTTTGAAGGGGGGGCTATATCGGTTGGCAAGATGGGATTGGGGGAGGTTTGCATACGGGACCGGTGAGATGGTCTTCATTGGATGAATTTGGAAGCTGCTTTTGAGCTGCAGGGAATTCCTTTATCTGCCCCTCGTTCCCTGAGCTGCCCTCGTGCTGTCGGAGTATGCAGGTCTAACTAGAGAGAAGGCCACAGGCTACTGCCTCCTGTCTGCCGAATGGCCTCCTCCGTCAGGGCTGGGGCTTGGAGCTGGTGAGCTGCTGCACTCGGAGAGGTCTGGTGTGAGCTGACAAGCATCGGGGTGGTGGGTATGTCCGGGGATGGGGGTGGGGGCAGGGGCAGGAAAGAAGGGAGCTTTGGGTTTGTTGAGGGTTGGTGCCTCTGTCTGAGCGACATGTCAAAGCTGTGGAGACCCTGGGTTTGGGACGTGGATGGTGGGAATTACCACAGTGTGTTAACGATGTCACTCTTATCGGGTCTATAAACAAACTTTTGCACGCGCATGTGTGTAGATGTATCCGTATTGTTGAGTTTTTTTCTATCTGTTTGATTGACTCTGGGTGGTCAATCCTGCACAGCACAGATCGACAGGGGTTGGCAGGAGACGGTTTCTATTGATCGATGTCAGTCGGGGGTTATTAAGACCCGCTTCCCCTTTGGCGATCGCTGTTCGATCCTGTCACTGCGGTGGTTTCCAGTTGTTGGCCACCTGTTGATGAGACCAGGGGCAACTGACCACCCCTTTCTGTAGCTGGATGTGGCCTAGTGATGAGAGGCTTCACCACCTGTGGAGAGGCTGGGCTCGTCCCCTTCTGAGTGCAGAAAGGGATTGTGCAGGCCTTGATTCAATCACAAATGGGTTCCGATCGAATGAATTTTCCGTAGCGGAAGGGAGATTCAGAGGGCAGAGAGCTTGGGGAATGTGGGACCAGGCTCCCAGGCTGGAATGTAAATCCCGGTTCGAGTTTCCCGGCATGGAGCTGTTGCTCAGTTACTGATCTGTGTCTGGTCAGGCTTGGCCACCCACTTGGCTGCTGCTACTTTCACTGAGTGATTTGCTAATTTTTTTATCTCCGTCTCTCCCTCTCCCTCTCACTCACTCTCTCGCTCTCTCTCTTCCTCCCGTTGTGTCCGTTGCCGACTCTCTTTCGCTCTCTTTCTCTGTGCCTCCTGTCGCCTCCTCTTGCTGTTTATCAGAGGACTGGTTCACAAGAGGTGAGTGCAGAAAGTGCCTGCCAGTGTCTGCCCTTGTTCTCTGCTGTTTACAAGGCTTTGCCTGTAGTCTGGCTTCGCTGGTGGTTGTGTGTTATCGATGCTCCCTCTGTCCACTGCCAAACCGTCAGGTTGCCCGGGCGATGCTTAGTCACGGTGTTGCGCGCTGTGGTGAGAATATTCCAGAGATGTTAATCAGGCAGAATCCCTGCCCAAAGCCACGCTGAGGTATTGTGAGATAACAAGGTGTAGAGCTGGATGAACACAGCAGGCCAAGTAGCATCAGAGGAGCAGGAAAGCTGACGTTTCGGGCCTAGACCCTTCTTCAGAAAATTCGGTCTAGGCCCGAAACATCAGCTTTCCTGCTGTGTTCATCCAGCTCTACACCTTGTTATCTCAGATTCTCCAGCATCTGCAATCTAATATCTCTGAGGTATTGTGAGGTGTGATCACAGTCGCACCCACACAGCTGGGGGTTTTAGCGAGTTGCAGGGAGGGGGGTGAGGTAGGGTGAGCGGTTGGCGTAAGGAATTGGCAGCAAAGTCGTCTGTCAGACAGAACCCCGGCCACGTTGGGCTCGTGCTGTCACCATCGCTTGGTTTTTGGAGCATGGCGTGGGTTTCGGGAGTGGGGGTGGGGGGGAGTACATTTTTGAGAAAGTGGGGGGCCAAGACACTTCAAGGCGGCCGTGCTCATGTCTCACCTCTTTTCTCTTCCGCTTCCCTTCCCCCCCCCCCCCCCC